GGGAAGAATATGAATCACTCGGAACAAAATGAATTACACAACTTCTGAACAATAACACACATCGGCTTATCAGTTATTGCTTGCATGAAAGTGTGTTTTGCAGTCGTGTGAAATGCTCAACGCTTGAAGACTCAAAAGACTGAGTGTTTTATATAATGCAAGGGTTCTGTTTGTCTGTAAAGACACATTTAGTCGGATATGAATCTGTACATCTGAGTGGACCGTTTTCAGAGTCACAGAAGGAAAAGCACAGGTGTAAATAACACAATGGCTGCATTTTGTTTAACTGCTTCAGTTTCAGGGTCTTGTGCATGCCGGCTCTCTGTCACGGTTAAACTGGGACACTGAAATAGAGCAGAGCCCTCGTTAATGTTATCAGTAACACCTGTGTGCTTCTCCTGCTACAAGTCAAAATGTCTGCTGTGGAAAAGCATGTACATGCTTCTGTACCACAAGTAATAAGAGTTGAAATGATTGAGTCACTCGACATGAAATCAAATGGCATACATTTTAATGATCAGTTAATTGTTTTGGCCATTTTTATTGCAAAAATGCCCACATTTTTTCTTTACCAGTCAGCTTCTTAAATATTAAAATGAGCTGGTGATTGCTTGCTAAATTTGCAAACGGGAAACCAGTTAATTGTGAAATGTTCTGCAGATTAAAAGAGGGAATGGAACATGAACCTGCACCGTGTTACATGTACACCTACTGAGAGTTTCTGAGCAGAGGGGGGTGCTGAAGTCTCAGTGAGACTCTCGTCAGTGGTGTGATTAGTTTATTTGACTGCATGAAAACTCTTAGTCTCCTAATAATATCAAGATCCCCTCATACTAAACGCCCTTAATGATCCACCATGTTCATGTAAAATCGTTCACTTGCTTGTTAGCTATTCAGACATTAAGGCTTTTAATGACATTCATCTCTCATTTATGAACTCAGTGGTAGGTTAACGTCCCGTATCTCTGCTTTCCCACAGCGCACACGTCATTTTGATTATCATGTGATAGCATGTCCTCATGTAAAGCACTTTATCTCTTGTTATTGTCCTGAGCATCATCAACATTATAGGAAACAAACAGCCGGGATGATATAGAAATGTGACATCGTCAATCCAGCCACAGTACTTTATTCTATTCACACAGTGCATTTCCTCGGAACACAATATATAATTTAATATCAATATAAAACTCCATTTGTGTATATAAATTATGCATTCAATACAGCAGCGCTGATAAATACTATTAAGCTTTGGTACAGTGGTACATTTCTGTATGTGTGTGTGTGTGTGTGCACATGCTTGTAATGAGTGTGAACGGCATACCCTGTGGGCGTCGTCAGGAGGAAGGCAGGTGTAGGTGAGGGAGTGTGAAAAAAGAGTGTTTGTGTTAAGAATGTGTGTGTGTACGCGCGTGAGTTCACGCAGGAACTCAAATCTCATCCCTCCACCCTGGCGAGGCGTCGTCAGTACTGTGCGCTCCAGGCCCGGGCACTGAGGCCGGTGCAGCTGGGAGGATGGCAGCTGGCGTGGTGGGAGGAGGGTGGGGGGGGGCACCACACAGCAGTAACCCGCCTCCCCACCAACCCCGGTCACTGCTTTACTTTGGGGATAGGACACCGAAACACCTCCCTGTAGAAGAAAAAAGAAAAAGAAAGTAAAGTTGGAGTGAAGAATGTGCTACCACAAGCACTTTCAGAAGTGCTAAACGCTTCTTTCGGGGGCTGAGTTATTGGAGGCTGACGCAGAACGAGACCTTTGGGTGCTCTATGTTTACCTGAACTATGCTACGCTGATGAGAGGCCATTGGTGAGTAGGTACCCAGCACAGCCTGGGCCTGGGAGGACTGCTGCACCCCCACAGCGTAACCTGCTGCAAACACACACACACACACACAGTTATACAAGAGATTATTAACAACATCTTTCATCACCGCAATTTGTTTAGCAAAAGGTTCATTAAGAAATAAGCCACAGGAGAGTTTTAACAGTTATTTTAGAACAAATAAGAAGAGTTCTGAGGAAGACTGGAGACAGCATCAACAAAAGACATGTCCAACAAATTGATTCATTATTTTCTGGCTGTGTGAGAAGCAGTTTTTATTTAACTTAAGAATGTAATTCATACAGTAGGAGTGGTGGATTTGGTTGGGTACATTTTAATTGATCAGTTCAGTATTGACACTTGAATCTTTATTAGCAACATTAAATAATAACAGCAACAAAAAACACAATTTGTGCAATACAAAATATTTATTTTCCATTATTCATGCGGTGATAGAAATCTGTATATCCGTCCCGATGTCGACGCTTTGAGTCTAGTATAATTATACACATTCATTTCTTGTTATTCTGTTGATGGCCACTGATGCCTGGAAGGTGTGCACAGAAAGTGTGCAGCTGGTTCAAACACATTCACTCATTAACCCCCCCC